CTCCACGGCACATCATAGTAAAAACACTACATGCACAAAACAAAGAGAAAATTCTGAAAGCTGCAAAAGAGAAACAAGTCACCATATAAAGGAAAACCCATTAGGATTACAGCTGACTTTTCAATGCAAACTATGAAAGCCAGAAGAGCCTGGGCCAAAGTATTCCCAGTGTTAAATGACCACAGATGCAAACCCAGATTACTATATCCAACCAAAATGTCTATTATAGTCTAAGGGGAAAGAAAAATCGTCCATGACATAAAGAGGCTGAAGGAATTCATGTCCACAAAACCAGCCCTTCAGAGAGTTCTGGAAGCAATACAAAGAGCTGAAGAAAGGAATGACTATACTCAAGGGGTTGCAGAAAGATTCAATGAAGGTATAACTGTGGAAAAGTACAGCTATATCAAGAATGTAAACAGAAATAAAAATGCCAGGATTCAACACCCTTCTTTCATTAATAACTTTAAATATTAACGGACTGAACTCCCCAGTCAAAAGACACAGACTAGGTGAATGGATTAAGAAACAAACCCATCTTTTTGTGGTCTGCAAGAAACTTGTCTGCAAGAAACTCATCTCACTTTCAAGGAGAGACACTATCTTAAAGTGAAATGATGAAAAAAAATATACCAAGCAAATGGCACTAGAAAAAAGTAGGTGTAGCAATTCTAGTATCTGACAAAATAGACTTTAAACTAAAACTAATCAGAAGAGACAAAGAAGGCCACTTCATTTTGATCAAAGGAACAATGAATCAAGAAGATATTACAATCATGAACATATATTCACCAAACTCTGGTGCACCCAACTTCATAAAAACAATACTACAGGACTTTAAGATGCAGATTAATCCCAACTCATTAATGATAGGGGACTTCAATACCCCCACTGTCTCCATTGGATAGGTCAACAGGGCAGAGAGTTAACAGAGAGACATGTGAATTAAACAATACCATATATCAAATGGACTTAACAGACATCTACTGAGTATTCCACCCAAGCACCAAAGGACATACTTTCTACTCAGCACCCTGTGGAACCTTCTCC